ATGGCCCTCCTGGTTGCACAGTGCCCTTCTGGGAAAACCCATGGTGGTTGTAAAATGGCCGCTCTGGTTGCAGTGTGACCCACATGCGGGGGGGGGGGGTCGGACGTCGCCTCCCTAGGATGGTGTGGTTTCGTTTTTTTTAGGATGGACGACGGGGCGATACCACATTGAAATCGCGATGCGAAAGGGGGGTCGATAATCCCGGGGGCGGGGGAGGGGGGGGGGAGAGTCTATGCTGCTTTCAGAAAGGCGAAACTATGCTGTGCAACCTGTGCTGCGCAATAGGCGATAGGTGGCGTAACCGACGTTGCGCAATGAGTTTCTGTTCGCAACGAGTTGCCAACTCCACTGCTCGCGCAATCAACCCACCCACGCGCCTGCACCTTGCTTTGCAACGCCCATGCGCGGCGGCGCTGACGCGCGGGTACTTCGGCGGGAGTCGGCGATCCGGGCGGGCGCGGTATCATGGCGACGTCGGCAACGGCAATGATTGTAGCGATTCTTGCGTCGACGATGGCGGCGACGACGGCAAGGTCAATGACGGCGCTGATGCTGATCGCGCCGATGACGACGACGGTGTCCACGTGTCGGTGATGAAGGTTGTGATAAGGATTTCGGCATGCGCGCGCGGCCGACGGGCGCCAGTGGCCCGCACGGAATTATGTGGCAAGCTAGTGCCCCCCAGCACGCGCGCAAGGGCGTTCGAATGATTTTAACATGCGCGGTCCATACGCACGTTTGGTCGCATGTGATGAAAAGCTTGAAAGGTAAACTGATCTTCGAAAGAATTCGAAAACTCGCACGCGCAGACCTTCTCTTGGATTGTCGTGTTGCAAACCCATGTTTGTAAATAGTTATGTTTGTTTTTTCGGGGCAAACCGATGGTGTTTGACAATTGTTGGCATGCAAACGCGACGACGCGCGCGAATGCGCTTCAACCCATGTGTTGCAAGGGGTTCTTGAACACGGATGCGTTTTGATAAACAGGCGTGTGCACACAGTGTTTGAATTGAAAAAGATGGGTGTGGGGGTCGATACGGGCTGGGCTCGGATCATATGATTTCATTATTAGAATGCGAGATGGGGCATCATCGCATAGATTGCATATCCCCAGGGGGTACTGTCAAATCCGCCCTTGGAAGGGTGGTATAATCAATAATTTATATTTACGCATTATCAAAATAGAGACAATCTACGTGGTGCAATCTGCGCTGTCCAACATATATGCTGCTATCTATGTAGAGCAACCTATGTGGCGGCGACGAGGCGGCGACGGCGCGGCGACGTCAGCAGCATAGCCGGCAGACCGACAGACAGGCCCATACGACGGGCGGCGACGAGGCGGCGACAGACAGGCCCAGCTCCTCAGTAACTTAGTAACAAATGAGACCTTTGAGTGCAAGCACTGCGTGGGGAATAAAAATTGGCGGAGGTCCACGCGGATTTCTTGGATCAACGCTGGACCCCTCCGTCTCCTTGGTGGGCGGAGGGCGCCGCAAGCGGCGCCAAAGGCGCCGCCAGGGGGGGGCCCAGCGCCAACCGAGAGATCCACGCGGTCCCCCGAAGGTCACGTTTATGCATTGTCTCCTCTTCGAGTAGACTATAAACAAGCGCGGTGCCGAAGTGTGCCATAGGGAGACAGCTAACTCGAAAGCCTCTCCCGCCCAGAGACAGCGCAGAGTCCGCGCGACCCCTAGACACAGCCGGTGACCTGATTTTCTTCACGACGTATGCCCGGCCAAATCTGTCGACCCCATGCCCGGGGGAGGGGGCAGGGCTTCCGTCGACCATTGGGGGCGTCCAAGAGGGGGGTGTCCAAGAGGGGTGTGTGCAAATCGTGGCCCGAAGCACGTGCGCGGCCCAGGGGGCGGCCGCGGACGTAACGAAATAAGAAGAGGCGCCATGAAATCTGGAGAGATGGCATGGCCCCCGCCGTGATATCCACCAACCCCTACTCCAAATCCCTTATTCATCGTCCCCTGGGTCCGGTTTTGTAAAGCGCCTTTGCCATGTCTAGCGAGGTCCGGTTGATTAAGGCGCTATTTTTGGATTGCAGCTTAGGAGGTCAGATTTATTAAGGCGCCCCGTCGAAGAGGGGGGTCCGGAGTGTTAGGTCGCATTTGGAGGGGCGTCTGGTTTTTAACGAGGGGTCGATTAATTAATGATACTACCACTACTACTACTACTACTACTACTACTACTCCTACTACTCCTACTACTACTACTACTACTACTACTACTACTACTGCTACTGCTACTGCTACTACTACTACTACTACTACTACTACTACTACTACTACTACTATACTACACTACTACTAGACTAGTACTAGTACTAGTACACTAGTACTAGTTACTAGTACTAGTACTAGTACTAGTACTAGTACTAGTACTAGTACTAGTACTAGTACTACTACTACTAGTACTACTACTACTACTACTACTACTACTACTACTACGACTACTAGTACTAATACTAGTACTAAGTACTAGTACTACTACTACTACTACTACTACTAATAATAATAATACTAATAATAATAAATACTAACACTAATAATAGTAATCATCATCATCATCAGGGGTTTGGAATAGTCATCACCCCCCTCTTGACCGCCCCCGAGGCCAGCTCGCTCTCGCGAGGTGCCCCCCGCGACAACGGCCAAGAAAACCGCCCCATAGCCTCCCCCACACCCTCACCGCGCCGCGACGCCCAGAGGTCCGCGGGCTCCCTCGCCCCCCCCCCCCCTCCTCCCCCTCGACCTCCCCCCCTCGACCTGCCCCTCGACTACCCTTGTCCCCCTCGACCTCCTCCCCTTCGACCACCTCCTCCTCCGACCTCCTCCCCCCCCTCGACCTCCCTCCCTCTCGACCTCCTTCCTCCCCCCCCCCCTTATCGACCTCCTCCCTCCCCCTCGACCTCCCCTTTGCCCCCTCGAACTCCTCCCCTCGACCTCCCCTCCTCCCCCTCGACCTCATCCCCTCCCTCTCTCTCGACCTCTTCCCCCCCCCCATCGACTTCCTCCCTCCCCTCGACCTCCCCTTCGCCCCCTCGAACTCCTCCCCTCGACCTCCCTCTCCCCTCGACCTCCTGCCCCTCGACCTCCCCTCCTCCCCTCGACCTCCTCCTCCTCCTCCTCCTCCTCCTCCTCCTCTTCCTCCTCCTCCTCCTCCTCTTCCTCCTCCTCCCTCCTCCCCCCCTCGACCTCCTCCTCCTCCCTTTTCCCCTCCTCGACCTCCTCCCCCCCGACCTCCTCCCGCGCCTGCCACGGCGCGGCGCCCTGCCGCGCAGCAGGCGAGAGAGGGCGGAGGCCGAGGAACGGCTCCTGTTCGGTCGGGCATGTCCGCCAGGCGAGCCAAAAATATCTCAAACTAGCCAGAGATCAGAGAAAAAGTCGTCCCCATACTATCCTTGTGCCATGTTTGGGAATTTCCTCCTGTAGAGGGACATGCCCGACCCACGGCTCCTGGCACGAGAGGTCCCGGCAAACCCCGGCCGACACGGGCCCGGGGACCCCCCCCGCAGGGGCCCCACCCGTCCCGAGCCGCCACCTCGTGCCGTGGTCTCCCGGGAGAGGGAGCCCCAGGGAACCCGAGAGCGACGAGGCGCCTCCGCAGGAGCCCCCTCCTCTCCACACCCCGTCTCCCGGGAGACAGACCATGACATGAGCACAACAACTCGGAGGTCCGGCGCCGCCCCTGGCGCGCTCCGCGCGCCAGGGAGGGGGGTCCAACGCCGATCCGAGAGATCCAGGCGGACCTCCGAGTTGTCATGCGTCTGTCAGTCTTCGTTCCCCCACTCTCCCCCCCTCCACCTCCATCTTCCATGCCTTCCGACCTCCGCGGAAGGTGCGGAATGATTCGTCGGAACGCACGGAAGCCTTACGCGGTTCAAAGACTCCCACAAAGACCACATCGAAACATGGGCGGAAGGTCCAGAAGCATGAGGGGGGGGCCTTCAGTGGAGAAGGGCACCCCCGCCACCCCTGCGCGGCTTCCGCCGCGCCGTACCCACTGGGGCACCGACGCAGGCTTGGACCGTCAGGACCCCCGTCGCTGTGAACTCGCCATCGTCCGACACATCTCGCCTTTCCGCCCCACGAAGACCGGCCCCCACGAGGCCGCCGTGGCCGTCGACACCGTGTTCGTCGTCGCAGCCGCTGCCGCCGCCCCGGCCGCCGCCGCAACCACCGTCGCCGCCCGACCACAAATTCCGACCAAATCCTGTCCCTGGGCCCCATGGGCCATCCCGACCAATTTCTCGAGCCGCGCCCAGCCATTGGCGACGAGAGCCTGCAGAAACGCAAACCATATCCTAGCCACGGATGCCCGACGCCGTACTTGCTTTCACAGTGTGGCTGCCCGATTTCTGGACGCCCTCTGGGGGACCAGCTTTCCGTCCCGAGTCGCTGCTCCACAACCCCGTGGCCCAGTGTGGGCCCCCAGAGGCTGCGAATTACCAAAAACCTTCCGTCGCGATCTTTCCGCGACGCGAGACGACGAGGGAACGCCCCGAAACCTCAGAAACGACACTGGGATCCGACGCCTCATTCACATCGAGACGCGGTGAAGCATCGCGCCTGGAACCCTAGACCCCATCCTTCTGCGACACTTTCCGAGCCGGATCGATGCGTGGAGGTCTCGGGGCCCGAACTTGAGCGAAAACGCCCGGCTCGAAAAACCTTCGCGATTCCTCAGCGATGCCGGGCGGCGATTGAGCAGGGACCGACCGTCCTTGCATTCACGACATGTTCTTCGAACCCAAACATGTCCTAATAACACAAGGAGTTCTCTTAAACCATAAACCGATGTGTTGCAACAAGACAGCCCCAACCAAGAATGTTCTAAGAACATTCCGCGCAGACCACAACATGCTTTTAGAACGTTCATTGGTAGGACTATAGGCAAGATAGGACGCTTCGCCACTGCCTGAAGCGAGGGAACGCCCCAAAACATCAGAATCGACGGCGGCGGCGTCGTCGGCGTCGGCCGCTGGCGGCCGTGCACACGAAGGCCGCCGGCCCCGCCGCGGCGGCCAGCAGCGCCAGCCCGCGCAAGGGGGCGCGCTGCCTCGCCAGAGGCGGCGGCGACTATTGGGCACAGGCCGGCGGCGTCGTCGCCGTCGTTCCAGGCGTTGCGCTTCTGTTGTTCATGTTGTTGTTGCTGTTGTTGGTGTTGGTATTGGTGTTGGTGTTGTTGCGGGTGTTGTTGTTAGTGGTGCTGCTGTTGTTGCTGTTGTTGTTGTGTATGCTACTGTTGTTGTTTTTGTTGCTGAGCTCCCACTACTCAAGAATACTCATTGTTGATTCCCCCTCCATTGACATATGTGTTTTTCAATTGAAGTGCCCTGTCTGGGGCTCGCACCCTGTTTTCGTATCAAGAAAAATGTTCCTCATCAAACTGCGTTATTGGCCCCTGAACTACAACGATAACGGTTCCCGCCGGATATGTCCTCACAATGTATTCCCAAATCGCGCTCTCGAACGGGACCTCCTCACAATGTATTCAGCCATCGCGCTCTCTCGTGGGACTTCCTCGCAGTCTATTCAGACGCCGCGCCCTCGACATTCAGGAGTCACGCTCTAGCTGTGGATTTCCTCACGATTGATTTGGGAATCGAGCTGTCGCTCAAAACCTCCTCGATATTCATGCAGGACGCACGCTTCAGCAACCCGCCTGGTCGACCTGGCCGACTTGGCCCTCCTTCCCGACCCGCCTGGCAGGGTTTACCCGCCCGATTTGCCCGTGTGGGTTTGCCACATGTTTTCTGCTCCTAGGTCCCCTCCTCCTACTTTCTCTCGTGCTCCATCCTCCTCCCTCCCCCTTGCCCCTTCCTGGCATCCGTCCTCTCTTCCCCTGCCTAAGGGGCTGCACGAAGTACACGTTGCAGGTAAGAAGGAATTATCCCCCAGGGGGTACGGTCGAAGACGACGAATAGGGCGGGCGTCGAAGGTTCGGGATATACGTGTTGAATGGCACGCGAGCAGATAACAGCGACCAACATAAAAATGATTGCTGTTGTTGTTGATGTTTATTGCTGTTGTTGATTGTTTGTAGTGTTCTTGTTGCGCAAGGGTTGTTCAACACTGAACCAGTGTCAGTAGGATGTGTGGTAAAGATGCAATGGCCTTCGAGGGCCATGTTCACATTCTGCGGACAAGGCTGGCCAACGATAGTCGCCAAGGATGGGCCGATAGGGAAGGATGCAAGGGCAACCTCGCAAATTCGTTCATCCTTACGCTGCGGGTTGACTGTAATATCGGCGGCGACCGAGGGGGCAACGTGGTAAGGGGCGGGCCCGTCAAGAAAGCTCAAAATCCCGCAGCCTTCTGCAAAGGTGTTCCCGCAGCTATGAAAAAGCGTCTCAGAAGGCGCGACGGCTTCTGAGAAACCCCGCCGCCTTCTGAGAACGCCCTACCCTTTCTCACCCCCCTCGCTCGCCGCCGATATCGGAGGCCTCCTGGATGGGGTCCGAATTGGGTCCCGTTGCTGCTTCAACACCGGCCAGCCGCCCCGGCAGCTCCGCAGCGGTCCCCACCGCGTGAGGTGAGCGCTCTCCCCCCATCCCCGCCCGCAGCCGTATCCTCCTCGCCCTCTCAGGGACGCAGTGACCTGGGTCAATGCAAACCCGGGTCATCCAGGCGTTGCAGGATCCTGCAAGATTCTGTAGGATCCTGCAGGATCCTGCACCCAAGCCCGGGTCAACGCGACCCTGGCCCTTCAGGATCCTGCAAGATCCGGCGCTCTGCCTGACCCCCGTTGGCATTGACTTCCGTCTCTTGACCCCCGAAGGCAATTCGCGATGCCGTCTCCGGGTCTGCCCGTGCGCGCGCGCGGACTGCCTCTGCCGCGCTGCGACGTAAAAACATTCTGGTTCGAGTAGATGGGGTCGGAGGATCGCGCCGCATCGCCAACGCATCGCCGATTGCATCGGCGACGCGTTGGCAATGCAGCGGCGACGTCGGCGATGCATCGGCGACGCCGGCGCGGAGAAAACCAGGCGAATGTGACTAAGCGATTCAGGGCGGGACAATAAACGGCAACCGAACAGCTTCGCCGGCTGGGGCGCCCCACCACAAGGGGAGGGGCAGCTCGGCCCGCGGAAGAGCGACCACTCGGGTTGCCCCCCAGGCCGTCCGGAGGCCCAAGGGGGGGCCCGAAGGATGACACTTCGGAGCGGGGGGGTTGGCGAGCCAGACTGGTAAAGCCCCCCCTGGCGAGCCGCGGCCCTCCCAGGGCGCTCCCAGGGCACCCGGTTGCACCCATGACGGAAGACCAGTGGACTCGATCGACGGAGGGCGGCACGCGATTCGGGTTGCGATTCGTCGTCGTCGTCGACGTCGTCATCCTCCTCCTCTTGCGCTCTTGCGCTCCTCAACGGTCGTCCCGATGGCACAAGACGCCCGCCCGTGGAAGAGAAAGTCATTGGCGCCTAATGGGGACAGGGACGACCGCCTCCCCCTTGGAATTCGAAGGAGCCCTCCCCTGCTTCAAAATCCCCAGGGCCTTCATGTTCCAGCTCGTGTCAGGCTTGTCCTGACGCGCTTAAACTAACTGTTTGACCTTCGATCGGCCATGCGCTCCGCAGCGCATGACCAGGTCACGCCTCCATTCTGTCAGAAACGATGGGTGGGGCGAGCCAGAGAAACGACCCTGAGGGCCCCAGGACACGGCAACTGCACCAGCCGAGAGCGGATCGCCCGCGAGACCCCGCTGACTCTGCATACCCACCCACCGATATGAGGCTGAAACAGTATGTGACCCTTATCATCTGTGACAATCTCGAGAATCGGGGTCTCAGAATTCCGAGATTCCCTCCTGCCACGCTCAGGGGATGACGACGCGTCAGGATACCCCAGGGCATGGACATGCTTGACTACAGCCACCATGTATCTGGATACGAGTGTAGCCTGATCGTGGTGGAATCGCAGGCGGTCGCGGAGATGATGGTTTGCTGGATGCGCCATGGCACCTCGCTTGGCCCAGGAATCGGCCTTCTGGTTACCTCGAAACCCGCGCGGCTCGTATCCAGGACTCTCCGCAACTGCCTTCGGCATGCGCGACGACGCCCAACTGGCAAAACTGAATGTGCTCCGGCTCCGCCGACCCTGGTTCCAGATGAGGCGCGCCGTAGCTCTGCGTGATACTTGTTGGGTGTATTCAGTTCCCTCCCTCCCCGCGCTCCACCCTGCATATTATATCTACCGTCCTTACAGTCTGCAATCATGTGAATACTGAGCCCCGTAAAACAAAAAGCCATGTTCGGGGGTGGACACACCTCTCTTTAGAAACCCACCTTGTAATGAAAACGGCCTCGGACCGAAACCGACGGACCTGGACCCACAAAAATGACGGACGCGACGCCCTCTCGCGAACTGAAAACGGCCTATTCGCGAATCGACGCATCAGGGTAGGAGGTCTGTCCACCCCCGACATGTGGAGAGCGCGCAACCCGCTGGACGGAACGTCCTGCGCTGGGGGGGGGAGGGGGAAGGCCCACAGCCCGCTGCCTCCTCCTCCTCCTCCTCCTCCTCCTCCTCCTCCTCCTCCTCCTCCTCCTCCTCCTCCTCCCCCCTCCTCCCCCAGGCGGACGGAGACCAACGCCCAGCCGTCGTAGGCGGACCCGTCTGTACACGCCGCATCGCCTAGCACTCCACTCGTGGGCCTGACCGCCCATCGAAACCCAGCTCTTTGAAGGGTCCTTGGGAACTGGGTCCTCGTGGAGCCCAGTGGCGCCCCAGTCCACTTGGTGTCTGGGCCCGCCAGGGCCATCGCAGCGTCGCCTAGCCCTCTATGCTCATGATGCCTCCTGAACAGCTTGGAACCGTCGCAGCCCCACAACCTGTGGAAAACTGTGCCGTTCTTCTGGGGGCGCTACTGGCGCCGATCTTCGATCACAACCCTTTTCCTGAATACATGGGCCTGAGTCCAAAGCCCTCCAGAGATCTGAGCGAGCAGAAGACTTACCCCAGGGTCGTAGTGGCTCCACACAGGGCTCCCAAGTGGCTCCACACAGGGCTCCCAAGAGACATTGTGGTAAGCTCCAGGTCAAATTCGCAGCAACCTCCTGGTCCTTTCGTCAACTAAGGTTTGCACAATCCTGGGCCCGACCTCCTTGATGTGCATGGTCGCACACTCCGTGTTGACTCACACACACACACCAAGAAACGATCTCCCACTCGAGTCTCTGCAAGGTGAGCACAACCGCTCCTGCAGGGCCTAGGACCGTCCTCCCCCCTTGAGACCGAACCTTGACGGCATAATCGAAGGCATGCTTCATCTGAACGTCGGTCGCCCAGGAATCGAAAACTGCTCAGGCACATATCTGCCACGGCAACGAGTTGGCTAGGAGCATCGGGTCGAGCTTCCCACCTTCCGCCAACAAGAACAGCAGGATGCGGCTGCGGCAGCGGTCCTCCTCCTCCTCCGCCTTCTCCTCTTCCTCCTCCTCCTCGCAAAACAACTTCCCCAGGATCCCGAAGGAATCATCGATATCATCGCGGGTGGGGGAAGGGGCGATTACGACATCTGCTTCAAAGCGATGCCTGAAAAAATGAGGCGGGGGGGCGATTTGAAGCACAGTTTTCGTCGCCCTATCACGGCGCCAGCCCAAGAACGTAGCGGGCGGGGACGATTAGAACATAGTTTCCGACACCCGAATTTGAATAGTCGAACCCTTAGAACTGAATCAGGGCCGTTTTCCGACATGACACATCGAGCCACATCGGCGATGCGTTGCGACCCTCCGACCCCATCTACTCCGACCCCATCAAGGAGGCCTGGATGTATTAGCTTGTGCTGCCCCAAACAAATCTAAAGGTATGGTGTTCCAGCCTGCTGTAGCCTTGACCACCAGAAATACTTTCGAGCACCAAGAACGTACCGAACATGGAGGGTTCTCACGTGTCGGGCCCTGGGAGGTGATGCTCGTTCGACACTTCGCCAGCGTGCTGGGCAGACTCTACTTCGATAATCTTCTGGGTGCTCGAACATATTTCTGGGATGTGGTCCTTAAATACGGTGAGGACAGCATACACGCAGGTCGGAAAAACTAGGTCGAAACATGAAGTAGGACGGCGGATCACTTGGATTTGGTTCGGTCCCGCCCAAAGAACAGCATATCAGCAAACACATATTGATTATTGAAGTGGGAATGCGCCTTGACGTAGAGTGGGATCTCGAACTCTGGAACACCTACTGTTCAACTGGCGTGTAAACCTAAAAGGCTCTCTGGGCCACCGAACCTCGCGCCCTCGCGAGGCCACCTCGGAGACGGGCTCCTCTCCGATCCCAACCGCAAAAATCGCGACGACGCCCTCGTCGTCGTCGCTGCCGTTGTCATCGTCGTTGTCGTCGTCGTCGCCGCCGTGGTCGTCGTGGTGGTCGTCGTGGTCGCCGTGGTCGTCGTCGTCGTCGCCGTCGCCTTCGCCGTCTCGCGCCCCGGGGTGGGCGACCCCTGGGGGGCCCCCGTCGCCGCGGCCAGGCGCGCTGGCCCGAGTTTTTTTCGGCGGGGGTGGGCCCCCGCGCGCGTCGGTTCTGAGGAAGACGACGGCGACGACGGCGACGACGGCGACGGCGACGAGGACGAGGACGACGCCGACTACCACGACCACAAAGACCACGACGATGACGACGACCACGCCAGTCGGACGGCGGCGTCGGCGGCGGCGACGGCGGCGAGCGAGCGAGCGAGCGAGTGAAAGCCGAGGGGCAGGGGGATCCAGGGCGGACGGGCCGGATTCGCACAAGCACCTGGGGCCCTCACCCCAGCGGTAGTACGACGGAGCCCGAAGGCCAGGACCATCTCACTGGCACGCGAAGAGGAGGCGACGACGGCGGCGGCTGTGGCGGCGATGGCGGCGGCTATGGCGGCGAGGGTGTGAAAACGAGGGGGGGGGGGGGACGAGGGGGAGCAGATGGAGGAGGGGGAGGGGCGAGGACGAGGATGGAGGAGGAGGGAGAAGGAATAATGAGGAAAGGGGGAAGGAGGAGAGGGCTGGGCAACGATTGCGGGGCGCCCCCCCCGCGAGAACGGATAAGCTGGCAGAGAGCTTAGAAGGCCAGGGCGCAAAGGGAAGGAAGACGAGGTTGAGAACCGGCCAGCCGCCAGAATGATTTTTGGGGCGCGGCTTTCCGGGAAGCCAAGCAGGGGCAAACCCAACAGCTCTAGCTGCTGCGACGTATCGCATCGCGCTCGGCGATCGGGGGGCCCAAATGGGCCCGCACCAAGGGTCACTCCAGCGAGGTGTCACTCTTGCGCGTAGTCGAGGGCGGCAGCAGGAGTATCGGGGGATCGAAGTCTCTGGGGCTGTGCCCTCCCTTTGGACCTCTGGGGTGGCAAGGCCTGGGGGCCTCCGCTGACCCCTGGGGAGTTTGGCGAGGCGGGCACAGCTCGAGGAAGCCCCCGAACGGAGCAGCGGGCTTCCCGAAGGAGATCCTCCCTCCTAGCAGCTTATCCTGCTCCTCTTTCTCCTCCTGCTCCTCCTCCTCCTCCTCCTCCTGCTCTTCCTCCTGCTCTTCCTCCTCCTCCTCCTCCACCTCCTCCTGCTCCTCCTCCTCCTCCTCCTCCTGCTCCTCGTCCTCCTCCTCCAGCTCCAGCTCCTCCTCCTCCAGCTCCTCCTTCTACTCCTCTTTCTCCTCCTCCTCCTCCTCCTCCTCCCCCTCGACCTCCTCCTCCTCCTCCCCTCCTCCTCCTCCTCCTCCTCTCCTCCTCCTCCTCCTCCTCCTCCTCCTCCCCCTCCTCCTCCTCCTCCTCCTCCTCCTAGTCCTACCCCCCTCCAGGCCAGGCGCCACCCCCTCCCACCTCCAGCCCTCGTGCTCCTCCATGTTCCTCCCACTTACAACCCTTCCTCATGGTCCCTCCATCCCTCACCTTTTTGCACCGGAGGGGCGGAGGGAGGGAGGGAGGAGGAGCTGTCCCGCCCTCCACCTCCTCCACCCGCTTTCATCATTCCTGCTCCTCCTGCCCCCCGATTCCGTTTGCTGCGCGCGGATGGGGTTGGCGCGAGGGGGGGGCGACATTCTCAGAAGCCAGGGGCCTTCTTCGAAGGCAGGGCCCTTCTCAGGTAGGGCCCAGGAAGCTTCTTGCACGGCTTCTCGGGGAATCTACTAAGAGGGCTTCTTGAAGCAGGGAGGCCATCCAAGAAGTCCCCTGCCTTCCCAGAAGCCCTCTAGGCGTCTTTACAGGCCGCCTGGTTTTACTCGCCTCCTCCCCCAACCCTTCCTCCCCCTCTCTTGGCCGTCCGTTCTCCCACTTGTCCCCGTCGACGCAGCCGTCATCGTTGTCCCCCTCGTTGAGAATCAAAAAGTACCGATACTGCTACTCCTCGGACATCCCACGGAGCGCATTCTGACCAAGACTTCGAGGCGAATCCAGCCGTGGCGAAAGGGAATGGGCAGCGGTATTGGTACCTCTTCCTTCCCCGACCTCAAAGTCGGTGGTCGTCGCCGTCACTGGCGTGCCGCCGCCGTCGTCAATCGCCGCCACCCGTTCCCACAACCGCGGTCGCTGGCGGCCCACCCCCGCTGGTCTCCCTCTCCACCGGACCAGCCCCCGCGGCCCACCCCGGCCGGCCTCCCCGAGCCGCGCCCGGGCGGTCCCAGAAATTCAGCCGCTCCAGTTTTTCGATGGGTCGGCCTCGGATGTCTGGACCACTTCCCTGGGCCTGGTTTTTGGTCCGGAGTCGTCTATTGACGGTCCCGAGGCCCGGTGAGGGCCCCCAGAGGTCGAAAACTGTCGCAGAACCACCTCTCTGATTGTGTCGGAGCGTCGGATCTCCGGGGGGCTGGACGAGAGCCCCCCAGGAGCGCCCAGGAAACCCTGGAGACGACGGCGGCGCCGACGACGGCTGCCTCTGGCGGGGCATCGCTCGTCGGCGGCGGGGGCGGGAGCGCGGGCTCGGGAGGGAGCCTTACCGAGTGTCAGGGGGGCACGAAAGGGTAGGATAGCAAAGGGCAGACTAGAGAATCAGCTCACGTAGCTGGTCTTCCTGGCGCCCCCTGGCGCTGGGAGGCGCCCATGCATCGAGGAATGGGCCCGGCGGCGGGGCGGAAACCAGCTGCATGCAGCAAATGTCGTAACCTCGGACGGGGCTAGAACAAAGATAAATCCGTTCCAGAGCGTTCCGGAACGCTCTCAGAGCGTTCCGGAACGCTCGGAGAAAACCGCGGCGCCCGATGCATCCCCGAGAACCGCTGGACATCAGAGATTCTCGATGTATCCTCACCCCATGTTATCCTCGTCCTGGCTTCATCTGATAACCCCCCCTTCCCTGCAGCCATCGCGCTACCAGAAGGAACGCATAAGAAGGAACAGAGGGGCTGTTCTGGCCACGGCGGGCCTGGGCCAAAAGCAGGTCCCAAGGCACAAGTCTGAGGAGCAGCCCGAGGACTCACGCCCCTTCTGAGCCCAAAGGGTGGTCCTTACTCTAGCGCCTTGGCAATATCCTACCCCCTGCGAAATGCTTAAGAAATCATGGGTGAAGAAATTCATAGTCTCAGAACTTGAATAAAAACCCAACATTTCCATTAAAATCTTAGGATTTCCATTGAAACGTTAAGAATAATCGAGACTCTGGCCGAAAACTTAAGTTTTCTTAAGCATCGCCTAAGGTGTATCCTACCCTTCCGTGCGGCCCGGGAGGGGCCGCCGACTGGCGGGGCGGGGGCGGGGGGCAGGCTTGGGCCGTGGGCTCCGGGGCGAGGCGGGCGCGCCGGGGGCGGGCGCCCTCTCTCGGCGGCCGCGCGCGGAGGCAGGAGCAGCGGCACGCCGAGAGCACGGCCGTCGGCGGACGCAGCCGGCCCTGCGAGGGGGGAGGTGAGGAGGGGGAGGCTCGGGCTGCTCCCATCGTGCTGAAGGGCCACGTCCCAGAAGCAACCTCGAGCACCCAGGTATCGAAACGGTGTCGAACGAGTACCGCCTCCCTGGGCCCGACGCGTGAGAGCCCTCGAGTTTCGGTACCTTCTTGGTGCACGAAACATCATACGAGAATGCCGTCTCAGACGGAGGGGCTTCTCAGAAAGGCCTCCGGCCTCCTGAGAGGCTTTCTGTGTCTCCAGGGAGAGCTCAGGGCACTTCTCAGGAGGCCGGGGGACCCCCGGGCCTTCTGAGAAGGCCCGCCCCCTCCTCGCTCCCCCACCTGGGCGTGCCGCCGACTTGAAAACGCTCGAGCGACGAAAAGGAACAGGTCGCACGCGAGACGACGTAGCGGCCTCACGCCGCGGCTCGGGAGAGCCGCCAGCGTGGCACGCTACACCGGAAGCGAGGGCGCTTGTACGCGCGGGCTTGCGCGGGCAACTTGCGCGAGAACGTCGGCGCAATCGACCCCGTCTTTCTGCGTCGCTCACCCGTCGTTGATGACATCTGCGTGCTGGCCGACCCCCGCTGCAGTCCCAGATGAGGGGATGAGGGGGATAACTCGAGCAACATCCAATCAGCAGCGCGGCCAGAAGGTCCGTGTCGTGACGCTGCCGTCTGCTGCTTTGGATGCTCCTCTTCCGTTTTCGGCAGTGTAGGGCCTCAGGCCGCAGACTCTGTGTTGGTATGCGGTGGGTGCAGGGCGACAAGGAAGCCGAGTGGGGAGAATGAACAATCCTCGCAGGCCAAAGATCGTGCTGCATGTTACAAGCGCGTGTGCACATGCATTTACATGCACACATGCACGAATGTATACATATATATGTATATATATATATATGTGTGTATACGAGAAGCAACACGCGCGCTTCGCGCGCGCTCAAGTTCTGCCTGTCTTGGAGCCTAGCGCTAAGCGGGCAAGGATGGCCCGTGCCCGAATAAAAATGAGCTGCGGTAGGAAACCAACGCGTTCGTAGCCGAAGACGCGAATGGGTGCCCATGTTAGGGCGAGGAATGCACAAGTACATGCAAGTAGACATGAGTGTAAACATTGATTGACCCCCCACACACACACACACCGCTGCTGTCCCCCAACGGGAAGGCCGTCTTGGAGCTCTTCGGGGGGCGGGAAGGATCTTGGGGAAGTCATGGAGGCCTCTGGGAACATCCTGGTGGCATCTGGGGGCCTCTTCTGTCGGCCTCCGGGGGCCTCTTGGGGAAAGATTGGGGGGCTGCTATTGGGGGTCTCGCAGGTCGTCTTGAGAGAAGGCTTCCGGAGACTCCCTCTGGGGCCCCTCTTGGAGCATCTTGGGGTCCTGTTGGACCGTGCTGAGGGCCTCTGCGGCCGTCCTAGGATGGGGGCCATAGTGGGACGGGGCAAAAGAGGAGGAGCAGGGAAAGAATGCAGCTGGTGGCGGAGAAGGGCAGAACAATGGTGGTGGGAAGGCGAGAAGAAGCAAGAGACGCATGCAAGAGGAGGAGGAAGATAAAAAGGTCCGAGACACCAGGGGGCCTCTGCTGAAAAACATGTGTGGAGTCTCCTGCAAGGCCTCGCGGAATCCTGCGGGGAACATGTTTGGGGCTCCATGAGCCACTTGGGAAGCCTCTTGGAGACTTCGTGGGGGCTGCAAGGACCTCCCGGGGGCGTCTTGGAGGCCAGATGGTTCTTGAGGGCGGCTTGGGCCTTTTTGGGAGGCCTCTTGGCGCGTGTCGGAGCCCTCTGGGGGCGTCTTGGGGGCATCTCTGGGTGCTCGTGGGCAGTCTTGGGCACATCTGGCGCCGTCTCGGGGCCAACTTGGGGGCACCTTGGGCCGTCTTGGAGCGGTCCTTGGGGCCGTCTTCGGCAGTCTTGGAGGCTGTTGATACAGAAAAAAACGGATCTGCTAAACATGTCCGTTTCGTTTGTGGAGGTTTTTGCCTAGTGGCGCTCTCCCGAGGGGTTCTCTTGGAGTTGTGAGGCCACCGACGTATGGGCTTCTGACATCCGTTCTAGTTCTATAAGAAGTAGTATTGCAAGCAATCACACGCAACACGCATACTCACAAGCCAGTAGCGTTGTACCCTGCAATTTCTGAAAGAGGAGGGCGAGTAAGAAGGGGTGGTGGTGGTGGCGGTGGTGGTTGTGGTGGTGGTAACTGCCTAAGGTAAACCAATCCCCAGCAGAGCACGATCCACCACGACGACACCGACGACGACGATGACGATTACGACGACGACGATGACAAGGACGACGGAGACGACGACGAAGACGACGGAGACGACGACGGAGACGGAGACGAGGCCCACCGAAGCACGACTTTGCGAAAGGGCCCATCCTGCGCAGTGTGTTACACAGCAATCGCCAAGCGGCCGACGAGGGGCAGGAGGCGGGGACGGCGCGGCAGGGACAAGCAACTCCCAATCGAGACATCGGGTCGGAGCCGCACGTGTGTCGAACCGGGGCGCATCGGCTCGGGGTCGGCATCGAACAGGCTGTGCGGCGCGAGATAACGCCAGGCGAACGTCGCGCCGCATCGGACCGTCGGAGCAAATCGGCATCGGATCAGATCGGGACGGCCGGCCTCGATATCGAGGCGCATCGATCAGAACAAACTTAGACCCAGGGGGGGGGAGGGCGGGGAGGGCGAGGGCGGACTCGCCCCCCCCTTCCCCCCCCCCCGACCAGACCAAAATTAGACCTGGGGGGTGAGGGCGGGAAGGGCGAGGGCGGACTCGCCGCCCCCCGCCCCCACCCCCCCTCCCTCCGCGAGGTGGCGCGTCGAGCAGCTCGAGGGCGCAGAAGGCCCGCGCGGCGGCAGGGTCCTGGGCGACGAAGCCGGTGTCCTCGGGGGGCAGCACCTGGGGCCGCTCCGCCTCCTCCTCGCACATCGTCGCCACCGTCGCCGCGACCGCCCAGCTCCTCCTCCTCCTCCTCCTCCTCCTCCTCCTCCTCCTCCTCCTCCTCCTCCTCCTCTCCTCCTCCTCCCCCCTCCTCGCCTCCGACCACCGCCGCCGCCGCCGATGCCGCCGATGCCGCCGCCGCCGCCGCCGCCGCCGCCGCCGCCGCCGCCGCCGCCGCCGCCGCCGCCGTCGTCGTCGTCGTCGTCGTCGTCGTCGTCGTCGTCGTCGTCGTCGTCGTCGTCGTCGTCGTCGTCGTCGTCGTCGTCGTCGTCGTCCGACTCCACATCCTCATCCTCCTCCTCCTCCACCTCCTCCTCCTCCTCCTCCTCCTCCTCGTTTCTCTCCACCTCGACCTCGTCCTCGTCCTCCTCCTCGTCTTCCCCCCCCCCCCGCAGTAACTCCCCATCCTCCCTGTCTTGTTCCTCCTTATCGTCGTCCTCCTCCTCCTCCTCCTCCTCCTCCTCCTCCTCCCCCTCCTCCTCCTCTTACCCCATCATTCGTCAATCCCCTTTCTCCTCCTCATCCAACGCCCCCTCACGTCCTCAACGTCCTCCTCCTGTGACATCCGCATTATCCTCGTCCCCCTCCCGCCCGCCATGATCGCCGTCCACCTTGACTCTCGCCCCCTCCATGTCCTCTCCCCTTCCCGAGCATAGCTTGTGTGTACGCGCCCTCGAACGAGCATAGCACAACAGTGCGTGTCAAGCGCGTCTTCCACCATTCGTTATCGGTCCTTGTCGTTCCCGTCGTCTTTCTTACACATGCCCATCACACGTATACCTTGTATCCCTGATCGTGCATTAAGGATGTAATGGCACTCGGTATGTAAGTACACTGGTAACTACATGTGGTAAACCAATGGAAATAATGAGAGACATGTGAAGCGCGTGCAAATGCATGGGGAAAAAACATCTCAGCGCTCATATACAGGCGCAAATGCACGTTGTCCTGCGCGGCGCGCGTTGCGCCGACGTCGCAGCGTCGCCGCATCATACGTTGCCTCGCCCAGAGTGAGCATCATGAGGACCAGGCGGCCCTTCGGGGCAGGCCCTGGGAATCGCATTTCGGCACGCCCCTCTGGCACCTCGTGGCCAGTGGATCCCGAGGCCCCCCAGCCAAGCCCTCATATGTAGCCACGATAATCGCGAGCCAAAATTGCCCCCCCCCCCCCCCCCCACGGCTCATCCTCATCACCCGTCTCATCCTTCTGACCTCGCCGCAAAACCGCCCAACTTTGTCATCCATTCGGCCGCCCCCTCCGTTGTTTGTCTCCCCCTATCCGTCACTTGGCCCTTCACCTCCCCCCGTTGCCCCTCCCCCACCCTACCCACGCAGGGCGGTCGGCCCTCGCCCCGATGAGCACTACCGTTCAAGGTTCCTGGGAGGAGCCATACGTCCGCGAGGAGGGGCACGGCCAGCGGGGGGGGCGAGGAGCAGCGAGAAGCAAGGGGGGATCCTCCCCCCCTCATCCTCCTCTCCCTCCTCCTCCCGCTCGTCCTCCTCCTCTTCCTTTTCCTGCTCCTCCCCCTCGTCCTCCTGCTTATCCTCCCTCAAGCAATTTGGGCGCAAGCAGGTGCAGGGGCCCAGCGGCCTTAGCACCTCACGCGCGCGATTCTCGGGGCTTCCCCGCAGCGCTTGAGGGACCCAGACCGAGGGCCACGCCACAGCCCAAGGTCTGTGACCAACACCGAGACCAGATTCAGCCATGACACAGTTGTGGACCAGATGCGACCAGTGCCGCCGATGTGAGTGGAACTCCATCATTGTCAAGCAGGGGTATGCTTGCTCAGGATGCGGCGCGTCGATCACGCTCTACAAGCCAGCAGGACGTCGAGTACATTGGGGGGATGACGTGCAGCCCGATGCGGCCCCGTCCCCCGCCGCCGCCCCACAGGGCGGCCGCCAGCGCAGCCACTCCCCGAGAGGCACGCGGCGTGGCGGGGGAGCCAAGGGCTCGC